CAGGCATGCCCCACCGAGCCTGGCAGTCCTTCATTTTCTCTGGTAAATTCCTAAATCTGGCCGTCGAGAGTCCCTTTCTGCTAGCTCCTCTGTCCTTGTGACACGCCTACATCTTCTTTTGGTTTTTGTTTTGTTAGCACTTTGTTACTTCCTGGTGTAACAAGATGTCTCAGAACTGTTCTGGCCTCCTTTGTCCCCACCCTACAGATGCTTGAAGTTTGCTCCTTGTTTTGATTTTGATTTGCCATGTAGTCATAAAACTGTGGGAAACTCGCCTCCTCTATTTTTTCACCCACCAGCCCTTCCTCTTACCTGTTCAGCTCATAAATATTTACTCCTTCTTCTCCCTATGTGTGACATTGGCCTCGATGCCGTCAGTTAAGGTAAAGAACTAGGCACTTTACAAACGAACTCCTTGAGCCCGTGCAACAGCCCTTGCTTGGTGGTAGTTTCTATTCACCGTCACCCACTTTAGAACTTGAGGCCCAGACAGGGTAAGTCACTTGCCTGGGGTCCTACAGCGAAGAAGCGACAGAAGTAGGTTTAATTAAGGCTTTTAACCCTGTACTCCGCTGGTTTGAGATAAGGCTTTCCTCCCAAAATAAAGTTTTAAAATAGAGAGGGAAAAAGTTTAAAATAAAACAAAGACAGTATGTTAGCAACAGATTCTATAGAAGCTTAGAAGAGAGTTAAAAATCATTTCAATAACATATCAATGCCTAGCAGGTGCTAAGGGTTGGATGCATGAGAATAGACGGGCCAGTGCCCCTGCCTTTGTAGAATTTGGGGTTTAGCAGCAATTTCTTTCTTGTTTAAGAAATAGAAGCTTGCTAGGGTAATCGTACCACTAATATCTATTGGTTTATTGAAAGGAACTGTTAATGGGTAATTGTTTGATCAATCTTGCATGCCTGTATCTGGTTATATGTGCAGCCATTTTGAAAAGGATATTACGTAATATAACAACCATTATTAATATCCTATCACCATGTTTTGAAATTCTGTATCATTTTTATTGTTCTCTATGCTGTTTTGTTTATGTATTTGTTTTTGTTACTTTGGTTTTTTTTTAAAGGAAAAATGAAATTTATATGTATACATAAGGATAGCTGGGATAGGTGTATTGCTGATGTCTGTGGTTTATTAAAAGAGACAGTCAATGCTTAAAATTTTCTTTTTTCTTGACCAATTTTGCATGCTTGAATTTGATAATCAGAATGACTGATCTGAAAACGACAATATGCAGTATAAGAACCATTGTTGAACTCCTACCATCTTATATGGTGAAGCTCTGCATCATTTCCAGTGTTGTTTTTTTAATTACTTGTTACTGTCTTTGATTGTTTGATCAATCTTACATTCTTATGTCTGGTAGACTGAAGAACTTTGTTGAAGATAATAGTATTTAATATAGCAACCATTGTTAATTCTTATTTTGTTTTGAGGTCAAGTATCATTTTTGTTGTTTTTATGTTGTTTTGATTCTGACTTCATTGTTGTTTTGTTACTTTTTAAAAAATTTTTAAAATAAAAAAATCTTGAAAAGAAACAGAATCTTGCTGTATTGCCCAGGCTGGCCTGGAACTTCTGGACTCAAGGGATTCTCCTGCCTCAGCCTTCGAGTAGTTGGAACTACGGGTACTCACCGCCTCACCCAGCTTAGCAACACTTTCCTACCGAAGTCAGGGAACAATTTACACAAACAACAACAAGCAAAAGAAGGGGTGTTGTTTATAACCACGTAGTATGCTGGGCCCCATGCAAGAGGAACTTGCCTAATTCTCATCTTTCCTATTAATCAGAAGATTCCTCAGCGCTAAAGTCTCAGTGCTATCAGGTGAGTGACTGCAATTGGAAGACCAAGGCAACTGCCAGGAAGAGGAGGGGTTAAGTGAGGGTTCCCGGTCAGGTTGGAGGTCGGCAATGTTCATTCCAACCCAGGTCTGTGTCCATTGCAGTACTAACATCTTGTAAAGGAACTGAGAATTAAATGCCACCCCTCCAAAAAGTGACAGATTGGGGTTTTGTTATTTTTGTGCTGTGGAGAATCATACCCAGGGGCTCATGCCTGCTAGACAAGTGAAGCAGAATTGAAACCCCTCACCTGGTGGGCCATAGCCCCTCCGCAGTGCCAGTGCCCAAACCACCACCATAAACTCCAGGCTCACCTACATTCTTGCTGGGTCAGCAAATGTATGGCCACATGTGCTCACAGATGGGGCTTTGGGGAGGTGGTTGGATCACGGGTGTGTGATACTGGGATTAAGGACATGTGATAAATAAACTGATTTAACATAGATCTGGGGGTGTGTCTAATAGAAACCCCACCCTGGGTGTGGGTGGCACCAATCAATAAGCTTGTACCCTGGATAGAATACAAAGGGACAGAAAAGAGCCATTGTCGACCTGCCTCTTGCCTGCCCTGCCATGGACTGTTTCTCCTCTCTGATGCCTCTCCTGCCTTGGAGCCAGTTGACTATGGACTGAAACCTCTACCAACTGTGAACCCGAATACAAGTTTCTTCTTTAACTTGTGGGTGTCACATATTTTGTCTCAGCAACAAGAAAGGTAACCAAGACACCAGGTCAACCTCTGCCAGTCTTTGCTCTTGCCCACACCACCCCCTTCCAGGTCCAGGTCCGATCCAAATGTCTTTCCTCTTCACTCCAGACAGCTACTCCAGGCTAATTTAATTGCTCCCTTCCTCCTTTACCCGTGTTTCCATAGCACTTTTTCCGTATCTTCATTATGGTGCTGACCATGCATTGCTGTGCTTTGTTTACATTTCTGGCTAGACTAAACTCCCATATCCTCAATCGGGAGAGAACAGTATTGATTTTCCTTATTTTGCAGATGAGAAAGCTGCTGTGCGGTGAGATGAGGTTGACAAGGCAACAGGGCACAGGGTTAAGAGCTGTGGTTAGAGCTGCTGATGCTGAATCGCAGGCAGGGGACTTAACCTGTCTGGGCTTCAGTTTCTGAAGCTGGTGACAGTAAAGAGAAACGGACACAGAAGGTCACACTGTGGATTCCAAGAGTTAATAAAGTCCCTGGGAGAGTGTCCAGCACAAAGCAGTGCTGTGTAAATGTTTAGTAAGTGAAGTCTTGTCATTGCAATTCAAATCCAAGACTTAAGATGCTGAAGCTCCTGATTACTGCTCTATTTTAACTCTGTGGGAGTCTAAGGGTTCCTGAGAAGTCCTGATTCCATCAGAGGCAGCAATTAAAGGAAGCTGGTTCTGAGCGAAATCTTCCAGCAAATTTTTGGATCAAAGCGTGGACCCGGGAAGGCAGCTGGTGTCTGCTTCTCGGGACAGAATCTAGGGCACATGGTGACACCTTTAGGCAAGGACCACCAGGAGAGACCGATTGCTGGCCCCCCTCTTGAAGTCTCTTTATATCTTTCCTCTTGAGTCAGTTGTGGGTTAAATATTTGGGCTTCCGGGATGATTTGCTACAAAAATTCTGCCTTTGCATGCAGATTTTGCAAGATGGCGCCATTAACAAACGGCAAGGGTCACTGATGGCTTTGTGGAGCATTGATGAAGGCATTGGTTGATTTCTTGAATCTTACATTTGTTCTATTACAACAGGGCTTGGGAATAACGCTTACATGCCCAAGACAAGGATCATTTTATTTTTACTTAATATTGTGTATAACTACGCCGTAGTATAAAATTTATTATTATTGACTTTGATATAATTGAAAATGGTGGATTAAATTGTGGTTATTCTGGTAGATGAGGCACAATGTAACAGTTAGATATAAAACTATGTGAACATTGATACTTGGAGATACCATGATTATAAAGAATATGTGGACGTTTTCATGAGTAAACAGGGCTTGTCCACATGTTGAAGAATTAGTGATTAACCTTAGTGGCAGATATTGACTATTGACTTAGAAATAAATGGTCTTCCTCACTAGGGCAGGATTTAAAACAACTCCTCCCAAACGTAAGCATAAATCAGAACACAGATTGCTAAGCCTCATCCACAGAATTTCTGATTTGGTGTGATGGAGCCGGGACCCCGAAATCTGTGTTTCTAGCAAGTTGCCAGGTGACACTAATACTGCTGGCTCAGGGAGTGGAGTTTGAGAATCGCTGAGTGAGAACAATCATCGCCTGACCTGCAGAACCTTACCACCACCTGGGCTGGGATACAACAGAATTGGATTTAAGTAGGCCACCTGAAGCAACCACTTGGAGCATCTGACAGGCCAAGAGAGATATGGCTTCATTATTTCTCCTCTGGAAGGGAAAAAAAAAAATGTCTTAGTGATGGAGACTTTAGAGGACTCTCGTAGTTAATTAACTGCAACCTTCACTGCATGTTTCTGATATCTTGATAATTAAACACATTTAGACTTCTTGATGGCTGCCGATATTTTCAGGAAATAATTGAAAAGTAGTGTACTTCCTTCCTGGAGGTTAGTCCTTGGTCTAGCAGGCTGAGCGGATGGCGACCAGCAGGTGGCGCTCTCAGCTCACAACGGTGGCAGGGATCGGGCGAAGGAAACCGCATAAACCAAGGTGCTTGCTTTTAAATCCTCAAAGAAGGTCCTCGGAACTACTTGTCATAAAATACCCTGAGACACACGTCTTGGAAAATCGAAGTGTCAAGCTCAGCATCTTTGCCACATTTCAAACTAGGTAATTACCTCCTCTCCCAAAGGGAATCTGTTTTATGTATTTGTGTGCTTTCTAGGTTACAAGTTTCCCAAAGGCAATGATCTTGCTGCCTCCCGCCTTTCTATACAATGCCGAAGCGAGATGCACATTTCACAATAACAATTTAATTATTCTACATCCCTCTGAGCTACGTGATGACCTGTTATATAATTGCCAGTAATACAGAAACCTATACAAACCTCATAGAAACTCATGCAATCAATGGAAGCTCCTATTTGACCTGGAAGTAAAATTGCTTGTTTACTTTTCCTTTACAATAGCAAAAGCACACTATTTTCCCACTGTCATTATCAAAGAAACAACAGTGCATTTTAGTCAGTTGTTTTTATTAAGTCTGCAGAGATGTTTCTCTTTTCTTTTTTTACTACACACAACAAATACTTTGATATAATCTAAGATAATAAAATAGTCAAACAACTTTGAGTTCTTAGATTTACATCTGTATAGAAACGATCTGGAACTTCTCCCCACAAAGGCAAGGTGTCTGAAAACCAGGGTCCCTGGGCACTGCTTTAAATAATTGGTTAAGAGCCCGCAGTTCTCATTCTCCACTGAAATGTGTCCCCATGCGGTTCTCCTTGGGCCCCAAGCTTAAGGCCTTAGGAAGATGACCAAGAAAAAAAGGACGGCCACTCTCCTACCTGTCCTTGCCTTGCGTACGGACAGTGACCGGAGCAGGGCTGTTACAGAAGCCAGGGGGGAATCAATTGCCCAGCTCTAGTTTGCAAGCATCACAATCGCAACAAGCCGTCTGTACACGGCAGCTCCCATTGGTGGATGGGAGATCGCGTCCCTGTGGCACGCCGCCTGCTTGTCCCTGAACGTTCCTTCCTTCCACTAATCATGTCAGTTACCATGGAGAGGTGGTGACCAGAAGCTCTAAGAGTCAGAGGGCTAGTCCTTTTGGCACACTGAAGTCTCGGCCCTTGCATTACATCCCTCGGAGGCTATGTCTCGGTTCCCAGTAAGTTTCCACCATCCCCTAAGAAATGCCTCGCCCCACCCTCAAATCCCCAAAGTGCCTAAGAGTGAAGACACCGTGGAGACGGTGTCTTCCGCGAACGCTGTCGCGGGGACTCTGGCTTATATCATCCCGTTGATCTTAGTCCACTCGTAGATGTCCTGTTCACACACTATGTCGGAGTTGATGAGGAGGTATCTGTCGCCCACGCAGAAGTGCTTCTGACAGGCGGCACATTTGAAACACTCCAGGTGGTACACTTTGTCTTTCACCCGCATGGTCATCTCGTAGGCGCGGATCCGCTTGTCACAGGACGCGCACAGGCCGTCTTGGCCAAAAAGCCTGGGGTCAAAAAGAAAGAACAGCTAAGATGTGAGGGTGGAGCGGAGACGGGAGAACAGGTTTGGTAAGGGGCTCAGAGGGGGCCTCAGACGTCCAGGCAGACGCAGGCTGGGGAGTCCTGTCTTAGAAGGCAGAGACACTGGCATTTTGTGGGCTATGACTCCTCCTTCCTCTGAGCTTTCTCTCTCTTCAGCAACCACTCCCCACACCTGTAGGCTACCTCAGGTCACCGCTGGGAAGACACTCATCAGAGTGATTTGTGATGAGGGGTCCGTGTGTTCTGCCCTGGGAACCTTCCCTGTGGAAGAGGAGCTGGAGGAGTCCCTGGGGCCCCTCTGAGAGAGAACTGAAGTGTGACGTTGCACACCTACAATCCAGCACTTTGGGAGGCTGAGGTGGAAGGATCAAAAGTTCTAGCCCAGCCTGGGCAACTTAGTGACTTAGATTCTGTCTCAAAATTAAAAAACAAGAAGGGCTGGATATGTAACGAGTTCAATTTCCAATACCAAAAGAGGGGTGGTGGGGTGAGGTTTGGTGAGGACTGTGATGGAAACAGACATCTTTCTGAAGCTCCCAACTCTATCATGGCAAGAGCCACCAATTCCACATGGTGACAGGCCCTGGCATCCCCCTCAACAGCAAAGCCCAACTCCGAGGACTTCCATAGACGGACACAGGGCAGTCAGTCCTGCCTCGCACACCTGGAAGACAAACACCACCTCCCCACGGTGAACGGAAGATCTTCATTCACAGCCCTCACTGCCCTTCTGGTTTTTTGTTTTTGTTGGTGGTGGGTTTTTTTGTTCTTTTTGAGACAGGGTCTCACTATGTAGTTCAGGCTGACCTTGAGCTCACTTTTCTTTTGTTTTGTTTTTTGTTTTTGAGACAGGGTTTCGTTGTGCAGTTCAGGCTGGCCTTGAGCTCACTTTGTAGCCCAGGCTGGCCTCGAACTTGCAAGGATCCTCCTGCCTCAGCCTCCCGAGTGCTGGGATTACAGGCATGTGCCACCACGCCCGGCTCTTGAACTCACTTTGTAGCCCAGGCTACCCTCAAACTCACAACAATCCTCCTGCCTCAGCCTCCACAAGTGCTGGGATTACAGATACACAGCACCATACCCAGCCTCAGTGCCGCTTTGACATATATCTCTGGGGAAACCTCTCTTCTAAAGAGTCTAAGTCAAGTCTCTCCTTGGCCTTTATGGATTAACTTCTTGCTTCAAGCAATATTCAGTGTTGGGGTGGGAGACACAACTTGGTAGAGGTCGATGCAGTGGTTCTCAAAGTCTGGTCCCCAGACCAACAGAATCAGGAACTTGTCAGAAATACAAATGCTCAGTAGGGCATGGTGGTGCACACCTGTCATCCCAGCACTCAAAAGGCTGGGCAGGAGCATCTCTGGGAGTTTGAGGTCAGCCTGGGATACATAGCAAGACTCTGTCCCAAAACTCCAGAGAGAAACGTTCTCTCTAGAAAGAGTCAGCATCCCCTCCCCCTGCCGGAGACACAGCGAGATGCGCTGATGATGCTGACGCAGGCTACAGTTTGAGAAGGAGCCTGCAGGAGCTGAATGACACAGGTGCTGGAGCCAGAAGGTCAGCTGTACAGTGCAGGACCAGCCTCGAGGACCGCAGCGCTTTGGGCTCTGACTTCTCTGAGCGTCCGTGAATGCAGCATCATAGCCTCCTCCTCACCCGGCTGGTGGAAGCACTGAACAGGGCAGGTCCGAGCACCAGCAGTCAAGCGCTAAGCCAGCGCCGGCTGTTTGATCACCAGTGTGATCCTTCCTGCAGGGTCATCTGCACACCTGGCTGGTAACACAGCACATGAAACCCTCAGGACAGAGTTAGATAAATGCTTGCTCTTACTGGACGTTATTAACCTCAGAAAATCAGGGCATCAACCGGTTCCTCCTGAGAGGCTGTAAGGGAGGTGAGGGCAGCTGCCCAATTTTGCAGCATTTGGGCAGGAAGATGGGCCGGAGAAGAGGCATTGGGACTCTGTGAGTTGAGAGCTCGCGTGACGCCAGGGCCAGCTCATTTCCCTCTGAATCCTGCTCTCCCCCCGGAGAAATCCAAGTGCTTCCAAGCACCGCCCGGGAACAAACTCATTAGCGGGGCAGAGCATTTTATCCCACCGCGGCAGATGGTGGAGCTGTAGGTAGCCCCCGTGCTGGAGGTCACAGAGTGGAAAGAGTTCTGGTTTCCTGACTGCTCAGTAAGTGAAGTTTGGGCCGAGCAGCATGGAGAGAAAAGAGCACGAAAGGAGTCCAACTGCCTGGGGCTTGAGATCCTCCGGAAGGAGGGAGCTTATTCAAGGGCGGCCGGGGGTAAACAACAACGCATGGGGCAGCTAATGAAGGGAGGGAGAAAGCACTAAGATTTGGGAGACAAGTTCAGGCACCTCTCAATAGCCAGGTGGCCTGAGAAAACGGCATCCCCTCTCTGCGCTTGTGTGGCTGAGGCTGTGAACCAAGGGAACTGGGAGAGAAGGGCCCTGCAGCCCGTTCTGGTGCAGGCGCTCTGCTGTTCTAACAGGAGTGAACACCGAGCAGGCCTTGGCATCTGACTATGGCGGGATATCCCAGAAGCGAACCCTCGGGGGATTTGTGCAAGTGAATTATCAAGGATGTTCTCAGAGGAGCCCAGGCAAGCAGAGGGGCAAACCGGATGCAAGGAGAGGAAGCCCAGTGTCAGTCACAGTGAGAATTCCTTGGAGAGAGCTTCAGTCTGATGTTCAGGGACCTCCCGAGTAGCAAGTCACATCTCCAAGTAGCCCTGGCTCCAGGCCAGGTGGCTGGGCTCTGAGACTCTTGCAGCTTGTGTCCTCGGCTCAGGCCCTGGGGTCTCCTAAGGCCAGCACATTTCTGGCTCTAACAGGTGCTGGTTAGATGGGGTGCACAGCTATAACCCCAGCACTCAGGAGGCTGAGGCAGGAGGATTGCCATGAGTTCAAGGGCAGCCTGGGGCACATAGTGAGTTTAAGGCCAATCTGAACTGTATAGCAAGAACCTGTCTGAAAAAAAAAGATAAAACAAAGCCCTGGGGGTCTGGAGATGACACACCCCCCAAACTGGCAAAAAACAAAAACAGATCGCAGGAGGTCTAGCGTGGGCATCAGCATTAATAGTTGAGGTTAGATCCCCGACAATACAACCATGACAGGAGTTAGGTTCTGCGTGGGGTCTCATGAATATCTGAAGAGCATGGTGACAGACAAGTCAGCCACAGGGGATCTTCATGGGGAGAAGTTATTCCAGGGAGAAGAAGGATTGGACCCCAAAGGGGAAGAGCGAGTCACCCCTCCCACTTGCCTTGTTAAAAGATACTGCCACATACGCAAAGAATGCAAATAAACACATCCATCGCTGAAGGAAAAAAATAATTTTTCTCCTCTGTCAAGAGGTGTCAGGTCTTAAGCTTTCTGCTGCCCATTTTAATAACAATAATACAAATATTAAAAGAGGGCTGGGAACACCCGCACGAACACGGAGTTAATTAACGTGTTTCCTGGGAATGTAGCAGGGAGAAGAATTATTTCATGTCACCAAGACACAAGTTAATTAACACTGGGTTCTCCCAGACTATTTTTTTCCTCTCTTTTTTGAAAAGGGAAAAGATTAACAAGCCCAGGCAGCACTGGTTTTATTCTTGAATGTTATATAAAACTGTAGAGATAGGAAGAAACCCGGCTCTTTTGACCTTACTGGATCTGCACTTGGTTTAATAAGATTCAAATGATTCGACAGGGACATAGTGAGGGGCCCAGTGGGAATCCTTTACCCTTCTGCTTTCTGACTGATTTAGCAGTCTGGAGTGAGAAAAACCAGGTCTGTATTTATCCCAGTTCTATTTTCTTGTGATTTAAAGAAAATAAAAAAGGAAATCTACCAACATTACAATCATGATCACTGGAATAAAAAAATCCTACTTATATTTTCTGGAACCACTAAATCTGCAAGGACTTTATCAGGGAATTTAGGAGAGGAGGAAAAGGGTGAAGAGATAAGCTTCCTTCGGTGTGGAATTACCTGCAGTTTTGGTTTGGGGGTAAAAACCACATGAGATGCTTTGTGGGCAGATTAGGGCAGAAGCTCTGACCCGGCGGCCAAGTACGCTGACGTCTAAGCCAGTGTCTGCGGGTTGCATGGGCCCAGTGTATTAGGGCTGCATGCTCCACGGAGCCCCTGCCACAGGAAGATGGTGAAGAACTGACAGCTCCACAGCTGAGCAGATCTGACAGGAGAGGGCAGGGAGCTACCTCCACAGCAAATATGAGACTGCATATTCTAGAACCTTCCAGAAAAAGGTACTCGCTGGGTGCTAAAAATTCACATGGCCAATCCAACAGCCCAGGGCAGGAGAGCGTCCTAACCTCCTGCCTCCCTGGCATGTGTAGACTTCCCGTTCCATCCTGCCATTCCCCCACCTCTCTGTCCATGAGATTAGAAGGTAATTCATGAGCCTGTCGTACAGGTAAGTTATCAAAGCAGCCAAATCTATCATGAGTATCAGCTCATGCACCAAGGTGCTTCCCATGTACGGGTCCATCTAACCCTCACCTCTTCCTTGGAAGTAGACACTGTAATTATTCCCACTTTACAGATGAGGAACTTCAGGCTCATGGGGGTTAAATGACTTGCCCAAGATCAAAGTGCCAGGAAGCAACAGTGCTGAGACTCAGACCTCTTACTGACCCCGCGGCTTCTGCTTTTATGTCCACTGGATACCGCTTTCCTATGCCTGGAATGCCATGCTAAGAAAATGCTTTTTATTTTTGTATTTCTCATCACATATTATTGGAATAACACAATATAAATACCTACGGTATTTATGTTTCTGGGGGAGTGGCATGGAACACTGGGCCCAGGGAAATCACTGAGCTACAGGCCTTTTTATGTTGAGACAGGGTCTTGCTCTATGTCAGTCTCCCAAACAGCTGGGATTACAGGCATGTGCCACTGTACCTGGCTATACACAGGGGGTGATCAAAATATGTAGGGAATGTTTACATTTTAAAAATTTATCACAATAAAAGACACATTGCCATTAATCCCCCTCAGAACACTCCACTCACTTCAAACACACTTATCCCATCCTTCCTGCCACTTTCTGAAGCAGTTCTGCAAGTCCTCTTTTGTGAGTGTCTTTTTCTGGCTGCTTCAATGTCCTGAATTGATTCAAAATGTTTATGACAGTTTCTACCCAATAAAAAAATTATTGTGTCCCCAGCTACCTTTTAACCAGATCTGGCACCATGTGACTTCTGGCTCTTCCCCAAAGTCAAAATGGCCATGACAGTAAATGTTTTGAATTGATTCAGGACACTGAGGCAGCCAGCCCAGCACAAGTAAAGACACTCATGAAAGAGGACTTCCAGAACTGCTTCAGAAAGCGGCAAGAACAATAGGAGGAGTGCATTTGAAGTGAGAGGGCTATCTTGAGGGAGACTAATGGCAATGTATCTTTTCCTATAATATTTTTTTCTAATTTAAATATTCGCCCTATTTTAAAAATCACACATCATTTAATGTTTTGAACCATTAAAGTGAATTCATAAGAAAACACGTAAACAAAACCAAAAACACTCCCAGATCCCATGATACTTTCTCTCTGTGTACTCCCCAGCCCTACTGCCAGACGGAACCACTACTCTGTGTGTTTACTCTTCTCTTACCTTTAAAAAATTAGGATTTTATCACCCAGACATATGTCTCTCACAAGAGGAGCTCAGCAGGAGGAAGAGCCAGAATACTCCCCTCACTTCAAACACACTTGTCTCATCCTTCCTGCCACTTTCTGAAGCAGTTCTGCGAGTCCTCTTTTGTGAGAGTCTTTTGGTGCTTCTCTGCGTGGTGTAGCTGAATTTCACCCTCCACAGCCTGACCTGCTGGAACCTGGGGACCACACACCCAAACCCAGATGTCCCCCAGGGGTTCAGGGCAGCTACCTGAGATAGTCCCTCCGGCAGAGCTTCCTGCCCAGCTTGTAGTAGAGGCGCCGCCCCACCTCGCCCAGCCGGCACCCGCACAGGTCGCAGCTGAGACAGTCCTCGTGCCAGTACTGATCGATGGCCTTCAGGAAGTAGCGGTCCCCGATGTTCTGCTGGCAGCCACCGCATGTCAGCAGGGACGGAGGGATCTGTAGCACCTCATCCACTGGCTCCCTGGGGAGGAGGCCAAGCATTAGGGACGGGCTCACCAGGAGTCAGAGGTCACTCTGGGCCCAACAGGGAGCCTCGATCCACTGTTTTCCAGCAACACAAAGAGAATGGATGAGACAACGCATCCCTCAGTCAGGCTGCAGAGAAACCCAGCCAACCTCGGTTAAGACAGGCGTGTGCTAGAGTTTGCACCCAAGAAGTAAACACAGGGCACCAAGAGGCCTGCAGGTGGCGCTGGGCCCTCACCCACAGCCCGGCACCATCCTGGACACCTCTGGTCTCCCTCCTTCTTTCTCCCATCTCCTCAGACTCCTCTGTCTTCCCAGGCCTCCCTCTTTTTTCCCCATCCTCCACCCAGGACCCAAGACACTGGCTACACCCGGGGGAGGCACTTGAGACTACAGGAGCTGCTTGCGGCCAGGACATCCGACGACCTAGAGTGCTAAAACCCCGAAGACTTATTGCTTCTTCATGCCGTCTCCCTCAAGCCCTTTGCAATGCGCAAAAGCAGAGGCGAGGAAAAAAGAAGAAAGCGACCCACATTCGGTCGGTCCTCATTCCAAAGTAAAAATCCCATTCGGATATAGTAGGAATTCTCGCCAGGCATGGTGGCGCACGCCTGTAATCCCAGCACTTGGGAGGCTGAGGCAGGAGGATCCCTGTGAGTTCCAGGCCAGCCTGAGTTACAAAATAAGCTCAAGGCCAGTCTGAACTGCAAAGCAAGATCCTGTCTCAAAAAGACAAAAAAAAAAAAAAAGAAAAAGGAATTCTCTATCTTCTTAACCATAATTCTGCATCCCAACCTTCTTGCTGAATTTTTTGTTGGAAATCCCAGATATTAAGACAATTGCCATCAAACTGATAAGGGACAGCAGTTAGGCTTCTTTTTCCTCATGTGAAAGCTTTTACAATGTAAAGTTGAGTGGAATCGAGTTAACTGAGGAGGGAAAAGGTAGGCAGGGGCAAAAACAATGATCTTAAAGAGTGGAAGAGAAGAAAAACAGATGCAGAAATCTCAATCCAGGCAACCCATTCATAGCGAGCTACAATACATTAAAAGTCTGTGCATACAACTTTTCCTTCACACTGGCTCACTGGAACCTGAATACTTTTGCTTTACATTGTAAAATAACTTTCCCAAAAGAAAACGAGGGAAAGGAATGGCTGCTGCAGGAACTGGGATATGAGGGAAAAAATACTTGCTGATTCGCAGTAACTAACCAATGATCTCTGGAACTGGAGTCAAATGCAAACCTCATTTTAAAAGATGTATTACTTTTTCTTAAAGGACCTTCTTCCAATGGCAGAATTCCCAAAGGGAGTTTCCTCTGGGGCATCCTGCAGCTATGAATTCACACCTTCTATTTCTAACTTCACTCTCTTACCAGGTGATATTTGTCGCAATTGGCCTGTGTCCACGAAGCTCAGCACCCATTATACTTAGGGACAGCGAGACTCAGGGAATCTATGTTTTAGTGCACTCTGACAACTGCAGGTGTCTATCCAGTAAAGACTGAATATTTAATCAGGCGTCATGGCTCATGCCTGTAATCCCAGGACTCGTGAGGCTGAGGCAGGAGGATTGCCAAAAGTTTGAGGCCACCCTGGGGTACATAGTGAGTTCAGGGGCAGCCTGAATTATACAGTGAGATCCTGTCTCCAAAAAAAAAAAAAAAAAAATAGGGCTGAATATTTAAGATTATCACAAACCCAAGGTTTCAGTAAGAGTATAAAATTATCTTCTTTTAGAACAGGGAAGTATAAAGCTCAAACCAGAGTGTTGGGTGGAAAACACCTTAAATAAATCCTCTGAAGTCTTTGCTTCCATAGATAGTAATAAGGATTTCCAGCCTTCTGTCTGAAAAATAACTGATACCCTTGGCCTGTCCGTGTGTATCAGTCCAGACTTGCTTCTCTTCTCTCGCTACAGCCTATGGTCTTACTCTAGGCTTCCAGAAACACTTATGGAAGGAACCTCAGCCGCCCTGGATGCCCTGACGCTGTCGCGGCCAACCAACTGTGAAAAAGGAAAATCTGCACTTAGCTGGTGCAAAGCTGCCTGAAAGAGAGGCCTCAGGGGCCACGGCTTACACAGCAAAGGAAACCTTTCTCTTCATGAATTCGAGCTGTCTTCTACCTACATGCTTCATTTGTATGTGCCTAGGCAAGCCCTTTGTGTGTCTTTGGAGATGCGATTGTAAAGACTCTAGTTGGCTTTGAGCAAGCTCACAGTAAAGCTTCCACGTAGCAGGAGAGTCTGCTGCTGAAGAAATGGAAACCAAAAGAAGCCACGCGATGGACTGAGATGAGACAGAGGGCAGGATAAGGCACTGGCTCCATCTATCGTTTTGTAGCTAATGATAATATCGCATTCTCTTTGGTAGACAATCCACGTCAATGACTGAGTGGGATTCATCTTCAAAGTAATATGGGCCATTTCCCCAAAGCCTATCCTAAATATCACACCCGAGTATCACTCTGGCCTGGGATAATTTCTTGACAATTTCCAAGAGAGGAGGGGGAGATGTACCGCAGCAGTTTCTCAACTAGCTTGGCCACCTTCAATTAAAACCTGCCTTTGTGGGCATATAGTACGGGGAAAGATGAAACTCTGGAGCCTCCCACAATAAGGTTCCCGCGGTGCTATGAAGTTAGGATGCCTCAGGGGAAAACACAAACTCTGGAAAAAGCAAACTTCCTCTAGGGGACCAAACCTTTCAGATTTACCTTCTAATAAAAGGATCTGGGACTAGGTCCTGCTGATGGACACCAACTCATTCAATTCACTTGCACACTGGATTACTGTGGTCTTGTTCAATGTCTGAAAATTCAGAGCTTAGGTGTATAAAAAGTGAACAAACTGTACTTTACATCCATTGGGTGCATAGCCATCTCTGTATATATTTTTAAAGGGAATGTTATTTTTCTCCTGAGAATTTGTTTAAGGAGGCTGGGTCTTTGTTACCACAAACCTTGCTCCTATGGAGCTGGTGTTTTAACCTTCAAGACTGAAGGGTAATGTTTATATTCCCCTTCAATCCTGTACTTCCTGTATTTTATGGGAACCTGCTGAGTTTTTATGCTGGTAAAGGCAGAGTAAAACCCAGGTAAATAAACACCACAAAAGGCTGAAATTAGGAGGGGGTGGCCCTCCAAGCAGGAAAGCACGATTCTTTTAAAGCAGGAGAAGAAAAAAACAAAACAAATGCCTCTTAAAAGCACAAATGGACAAGTCATTAACTAGCTCCTTTGGTCTTGTGTAACAAATCCCTTCAAAGGATTAGATGGGGACTTCAAAGGAATAAAAATTCAAAACCAGACAGCTAATGGCTCTTAAAAGGCCATTTGCGTTGATGGGGGAAATGATACCTTAAACATCCCCTTGCTCCCCAAGTTAAAGCTACAGAATGGGTCGGGGTATAGGTTAGGAATAGGTCATGTTGATTTTAAAGCAGTGCAAAGCTCAGGAAATTGATGCAGCATATGCTCATTAGAGAGGGCTGGTTCCCTGACCCAAACCTTCCTGAGAGTATAATAAAAACCTTTGAGATTTTGCTCCCCAGAAAAACACAGCTATACACAAAATAGTGCACTAACTTTTGAGGCTCACAGGCCTCCATCGGTGGGCGCCTGGGGAGAGGAGTCCAGGTACCCAGATTAACTCCGGACTAGCGACTCTGGAAGTCTCTGGGGGCTCGGGCGAGCGGCGAGGTGGGCAGGCAGACCCCCCTCACCCGCCCGTTATCCGCGCGGCCGCGGCCGCTCCACCTGCGGACCCGGAAGGGGGTCCTCTGGGATTCCGGAGGCCTCCACTTGGAATGTCCCCCTTTCCAGGACCAAACGGACAAAGAGAAGGAGCGAAAGGGGAGAAGGAAGCAGAATGGAGCCCTGAACGCTCCCCGGATGCACCTGCGCGCCTGCAAGCGCCCCTGTGCTTGCTCCGGTGCAAACTTTCTGGCCCGGCCGGGGCTTTGGGGATTGTCCCTGGTAGCCCGGAGGGGCCCCAGAGGCGCCGCGCTGACCTCTATTCCTACCGCCTTCCGCCCGATCCTCTTCCCAGGGCCCCCAGAGTCACCTGCGGGCACCGGGCACCCCTGGCGCGCG